GAAGGGCTCTTCAGCAGGTACCCTATTGGGGTTCCCCATAATAAGGATTATAATCTATTTGGGTCTATATTAGGGTCCCCTTATTTTGGGAAACTACCATTTAGGATAGGGCATGGGATGAAGGATTCAAGGCCTAGGGTTTAGGGTTCAGGCTTTGGAGTTTAAAGTTTAGGGTTCAGGGTTCAGGATTTAGGGTTTAGGGTTCCGAGTTAGGGTGGGTCCCTAAACCCTAAACCCTAAACCCTAAACCCTTGGGGCTGGCTGTTTAAGGTGGCTAGTTGCCAGTAGGGCTTTTCATATGAGACTCCTAGAATGCTCGTGGCAAGGTGTTTGGGAACTTCTGTAAACGTCTGTGTAGGCCTCCTACAAGAATACTGACTTGACAACCGTTTGCCTAAAATCTCCTTGATTCAAAAAATTTCAAAGCCGTCTACAAAACTAAAACTTGCAAGTGCAATTACATCGCACTTCCCCCTCAAATCTGGGAATCCGCATCAGAAGGATCCATACTTTTGATAAGCGAATAATCCATTAAAAGCTCCTTATCATACACATAACTGACAGGCCCCTTTTTTGAGACCCCTTCCAAGAAGAACCCTGGTATCCTCGGCGATGGAACCTCTCCTGAAAGAGTTTCGGCGTGACTCACCTGCGAAGAGCGTTCCTCTGTATCCCCAGCGTCCTCCCATGACAGGCTCTGGTTTTAGAGTCCGAGTGTATAGGCCTTGCCGGACTTGCAATGAAAGCGGCTGTGATTTGAGGAAGTCCCCATGTATGCTGGATTGGGAACTGGATGTAAGTGCTTTGTGAACTGGCAGCCGCTTACTTACATGTTCATGGGACATAGTAAACTCTTCTGACTGAAGCTTCAACCCTATCACCCGATTGATGATAGTCCTGTGAAATTCCAAGTGCAAGCCAGGAGTTCACACTGGGGGGTTGCTTTTGTTTAAGTGACAGCTTCCGAAAACGAGCGCCATGAAATATGCTATGCCCTTACTTACTTGACGACCGAGAAAGAACCGTCCACGATGTTTGGAAACCTCTTCCACAACCCACCTGCAAATCAGTTTGTAAGCCTTGTATACAATTTCAAAAATCCCTACTGCACCTCCAAGGGAGCCATGAACACTCCCCGAATCCCCAAGCCAGCCCGAACCCGAAAACCTACATCCTTAACCCTCACCATCCCTCAACATCCCTCAACCCTAAGACCCTGATCCCTGCACCCTGCACCCGGAGCCTCAACCATCGAACCTGAAACCGTAGACCTTAAACCCTATACCCTAAATTCTTTGTGTACAGGTCCCTTTGAGATTTTTGTAAGGATTCTTTTGAGAAGCTCCCCAACTGGCCTCCTTTGACAGATCTTGGCGAGCCATCCATTGTCTCTTTCCGAGCCTGCCAAGCCACAACAGGGGCTACGCGCAAAAAGCAGGCACTTCAAAAACAAGGATGAACAGCAAGGGAGCGCAACCATGGGAATTTCCCAACTCCCCAACCTCAAGATTCGGACCCTATGACAATCGTAATTAGAGCAGGCTCCCAATAACTTAGCATGCCCACTTGAAAGGGACCTACTGGAACACCATAGACCCCAAACCCTATACCCTAAACAGGGATGAACGAATCTG